CTCCGCCTCCTGGGTTCAGGCAATTCTCCTGCCTCAGCCTCCTGAGTAACTGGGATTACAGGCATGCGCCACCATGCCCAGCTAATTTTTTGTAGTTTTAGTAGAGACGGGGTTTCACCGCGTTGACCAGGATGGTCTCGATCTTTTGACCTCGTGATCCACCCGCCTCAGCCTCCCAAAGTGCTGGGATTACAGGCTTGAGCCACCGTGCCCGGCCGAATTTCCGATTCTTTGGCTTGACTCCAAGGTTCTCCCCAACAAGGAATCAAACCACTGTTCCCACTATTTACCCATATTGCTCCTACAATTCCTGCCAGATGAGACCACTGATTCCTTCCTGAACATGCATTGAACAGTCACCTCCTGCATGTTAGTGCCCTACAAGGCAGGTACCATGCACATACCTCTCCGTGTCTGGAAATTCTAGCCATTTCTATAAACCAAACCCCTTTTCAGATGTTCCATAAAACCCTGCTGACCACACTGGCCCTTCTTATTTTATTTTTTTGAGACAGTCTCACTTTGTCACCCAGGCTGGAGTGCAATGGCTCGATCTCGGCTCACTGCAACCTCTGCCTCCTGAATTCAAGCGATTCTCCTGCCTCAGCCTCCCGAGTAGCTGGGACTACAGGCGCGTAATCTTTTTTTTTTTTTCAGTAGAGATGGGGTTTCACTGTGTCAGCCAGGATGGTCTCGATCTCCTGACCTTGTGATTCGCCCACCATGGCCTCCCAAAGTGCTGGGATTACAGGCATGAGCCACGGCGCCTGGCCACACTGGCCCTTCTAAAGGCTCTACAGCACTTACAACAATCACACATACACACACACACCCTTTTACTGACAGTCCTGTTCTGACATCAAATTGATAATTATCGACAACCAACTGTATACGAGGCACTAAGTACACAGAATACAGAAGGTGTGTAATAAAAGGACTGTGCCCTCCAGAAGGAGCCAGTATCAGTAGTGGTTAAAAACAAAGGTTCCAGCAGGGTGTGGTAGCTCACGCTTGCAATCCCAGCACTTTGAGAGGCCAAGGCAGGTGGATCATGAGGTTGGGAGTTCCAGACCAGTCTGGCCAACACAGTGAAACTCATTTTCTACTAAAAATACAAAAATTAGTCCGGTGTGGTGGTGCGCACCTGTAGTCCCAGCTACTCAGGTGGCTGAGATCACTTGAACCTGGGAGGTGGAGATTGCAGTGAGTGGAGACTGTGCCACTGCACTCCAGCCTGGGCGACAGAGTGAGACCATGTCTCAAAAAGAAAGGCTGGCCACGGTAGCTCACGCCTGTAATCCCAACGCTTTGGGAGGCCAAGGTGTGTGGATCACCTGAGGTCAGGAGTTCAAGACCAGCCTGGCCAAAAAGGTGAAACCTCATCTCTAAAAAAAAAATAGATCAGGCGTGGTGGCTCCTGCTTGTAATAACAGCACTTTGGGAGGCCGACATGGATCACTTGCTGTCAGGAGTTCGAGACCAGCCTGACCAACATGGTGAAACCTCATCTCTACTAAAAAATATAAAAATTAGCCAAGCGTGGTGGCACACGCCTGTAATCCCAGATACTTGGGAGGCTGAGACAGGAGAATCACTTGAATCTGAGAGACGGATGTTGCAGTGACCCAAGATCGTTCCACTGCACTCCAGCCAGGGCAAAAAGAGTGAGACTCCATCTCAAAAAA